CGAACACAATCTAAAGATCTTTGTTCGAAACGGAAAAGATTTGCACCATCTGTAACTGAAACGTAAGCAGAAGACGATCCAGGACTTAATGCTCATATTAACAGACAATAATATTTATATTTATATAATAATATGAATTATAATTGATGATGATGAATGCTTGAGGTCCGTCTTGGTTTTTGGTTATGCGGAAGAGAGTGCGTTTTTTTTGGTTTTTTGTTTTTTATTTTGACTGCAATTGGACGGTTTTGGTAGGCGGGAAAATATTTATAAACGTTGTTTAATTGCGTAACGGCGACATAGGCGGATGTGGCGTTGGTACCACTGTGCGGGCAGTCACACACACACACACACACGCACACACACACACGCATTCACAAATATGGCAAAGCCATTTCCGCATGTCAACCAAGTCGTCAAATGCTGCGATGCGTTGCAGTGAAAATTCATTGAAATGCTCGCAGAGCCACCGGAACATGCCAAGAAGCAGAGTGGCTGCAGGGAAGCATAGAAGAAGAAGAAGAAAGCGGAGGTGCAGCAACTGCAACTGCAACTGCAACTGGACGCCACAAAAAGATTCACAGATAGAGCTCAAGCCCGGAGAGATCTTTCAGCTGCGGACTGTGGATTCGGGCCTGCCTTTGTTAGGCTGGGCAGAGGGGCTGCCCAGAAGGGGGTTGGGGGGTATTTTTGGGGCAACAACTTTTACTTTGGTCTGGAAAAATGAGCTGCATGCAGCGACAAAGTCTTCTGGCGCGTGCAGTGAAAACCTGAGAAGCACACGTAGACATCGTTTATTGCCAAATGCACGAAGCTTTTTGGGCTGGACACGCACCGCTGGCCACGTGCCAGAGCCCAGCTGGGTGCCATGGCGTCCATATGGCGTCTATAGCCACACACACACAGAGAGAGAGAGAGACAGAGAGAGAGAGAGAGACAGACAGGCACAGGCACACCTTCATACGTAGCTCTTATATGGTCCGTGGCTTTCTGTTAAAAGTGAAGACTCTTGTGGCTTGGCTTTGTGGGTGGGACGGAGGGAGCGGGTGTAGAAGGGGGCAGGAGCGACTTTGGTGGTGTCTATGACCATGTCTGAGGGAGCGACGCGGCCAACTGCTCGTAAATTGTAAAAAAATTGAAGAAAAACGCGCAATAATTAAGCGAGCCAAATGTGAAGCAAAAAAAAAAAAAAACACACAGAAGGCAACTGAATAAAAACGCATTAAAAACTATAAAATAGAAGCGAATCGATCACGACTGCCCGACTAGCAGATGCCCTGTAATAAGCAGCCCCACAATATGCAGCCAAATGCGGGCCTATGGTCCGATCTTGATGAGATTCACAGCGCTTAACTATCTGACATTGAAGTGTTTGCAGCTTTAAAAATGTTTATTCTTTCAAAACTTTTGGGTAATGAGCGAAGTAAGCCAAAAAAATGAACTATTTTTAATATGCAAATGCTCTACGAGAATGCAGCTAACTAAGTTTTGTGCATCTAGCTCTTATAATCTTCGAGTTCTGCTCAAAAAACGAATTCCAAAAATCGATATTTATCGATATATGGCAACTCATTTGGCGTTTGGTACACGAGAATGTTTCTAAGTGGAGAGCAGCTCGTTTAAAGAGACAGACAGACAGACAGAGAGAGAGACAGAGAGAGAGAGAGAGAGAGAGAGAGAGAGAGAGAGAGAGAGAGACAGACAGACAAAAAATCCAAAAATCGATTTTTATCGATATATGGAAAATATGACAAACTCATTTGGCGTTTGGTACACGAGAATGTTTCTGAGTGGAGAGCAGCTCGTTTAAAGAGACAGACAGACAGACAGAGAGAGAGAGAGAGACAGAGAGAGAGAGAGAGACAGAGAGAGAGAGAGAGACAGACAGACAGACAGACAGAGAGACAGAGAGAGAGAGACAGACAGACAGAGAGAGAGATAGGTTAGTTTAAGTCGACTATTGATGATCAAAAATATATATGTATATACGCATATAGAAATATAGATTAGATAGATATATATGTATATAGATATATATATATATGTATATATATATAGATTGGGAGATCCCCAGAGACTATTGATGATCAAAAATATATACCCAAAATATGGATTGCGAGATAGATGCCGTGCCCTTGCATGCAATCAATAGACCCTTTTTTTCAAATGGATACAGGGTATACATATAAGACAGATATAAAAAGCTTCGTTTGTTTTAAATGTAACTCGGTGCGTTGTTGTCGTCGTCGTCGTCGTTGTTGTTGTTGTTGCACATAGCTCAGCGTATAATTAAAGTGAAAATGCGCCAAGTATGCCTGCTCATATGCTGTATATATAAATAGAGACATATATCTGTAGATATTTAGCCAAAGATACCCGGTTAACAGCCGAGCCGTCGTTATTTTGGTATTTTGATATTTTGATATGCTATACGATATGTTATGTGCTCGTCTTTGAGCTATTGCACAATGTGGTGGGTGCAGTGTATTCGGCTTGAAAGACAGCTAAAGGCTGTATTTATATGATTGATTCAATGATTGATGCTCGAACTGCCTTAAACAATTAAATTGACTTGGCTTTCTTTTGTTTTCGGTTCACGAAATCGATTGAAATTCTTGGATGAGGTGAGAAGTTCCAGTAATAACAATTTTGGACAAAAATTCAATAGTAATTTTGAATGCATCAATCAAAAGTTCTTTGCTTCAATCAAATTTGTTATATTTGTTGTCTGATTTTCACTGCCTACTTGAGTTTTCAGAATACTCTTAAATTGACCTTTAAAACTCATTAAAAGGTAATATAAAGTATGGGAGTCTCCTAGCTCGGATTGCGGCTTGATTGATGACAAACTGATTGCAATCACTTAATAAGTCAGTCAATCAATCAGGTCAATCCTTTTATAATGTATCAAGATAACAATTGATAAGAGCTTTATCTGCGATCTATATGTCGTTTCTGCAATGGGACACTGTTAATTACTTCTTCTACTTCTATTTCAGTTAAGTCAGTCAATCAGTATCAATCAATCAGGACAAACATTTTCATATATATTAAGATAGTAATTGATAGGTTTTTAAGGTTTAAGGTATAAATATATGTAGATCTTCCGATAGCATACTCTAAGGTACAGTCAGTCAATCACTCAATCGTTCAGTCCATCAATCAAAACAAATAGTGTTATATGCTTAAACAAGACAATTGATGAGTTTGAAGATTTATATATAGATTTGACACCATACTCTAGAGCACCTTGTCTACTGCAGTGCAGTCAATCAGTCAATCAATCAGCACGAATATTTGTATATATATTACGATCACAACTAATATGAGTTGAATAGCAATAAGCCATATATAAGCTGCAAAGCACATCTCCATCTACTGCAGTACAGTCAATCAGTCATTCAATCAGTCAGTCAGTCAGTCAGTCGGTCAGTCATTCAATTAGTTTTATATATATTTGAATTAAACTCTAAAGCAACTCTTCTATCTTTGGTGCACTTACAGAGATGCCAAAATGGAGCCAATGACCATGTTGGTATTGGCCTTTCAGCTGCTGGCGCTCTTCTCGATCGCCGGCGCGCTGCTCATCTATCTGATATGCAAGGTGCGTGAGGAGAGCCAGGCGGGCAATGGGGAGGTGCCGCCCAGCCGTGTGGTGCTGGTTACGAGCGCCGACACGGCGCTGGGCCTGCAGTTGTGCACATATCTGGCGAACAAGGGCTGTCGCGTCTTTGCCGGCATGAAGGAGGCACGCGACTCGCTGCCCGCCAAACTGCTCTGCGGCTGGATGAAGATACGTGAATATAGCGAGGAGCCGATCAGCGGCACCATTATACCGATGCGCCTGGACGTGACACGGGAGGATGTGCTGCGCGAAGCGACCATCGCCATGGGCGCCCATCTCAACGCCAACGAACGCGGCATTGCCGCTGTCATCAATACCAGCGGCAGCGTGTATCGCGGCCGTGTCGAGTCCCAGGATGTGCAGCAATGGGAGCACATGCTCAAGACCAACATATTGGGCACGCTGCGTGTGGCCAAAGCTTTTGTCGGTTTCCTGCGTCCGACACGCGGACGTCTACTCTATTTGGGCGGCAGCAGTGCCGGCGCCAGCATGGGCGGCGATGGCCTGGTGGCATTCAATGCCTCGCGCGTCGCTGTGGAGAAGTGTGCCGAGGAGCTGCGCAAGGAGCTGCAGCCATATGGTGTCAGCATTGTGGCGCTGGACACATGCGGCATGACCGTCGAGTCGCTGTACAAGGCGCCCGTTGCGCAGAGTAAGTGCTCCCAGCTATCCATCTGCTTTCAGCAAACGCAAGCTGTCGCCTTCAACAACAACAACTCTTCTGCTTTCAGCCATGTCACAGTGCCCGGGCGCACCCACCCAGTATACGGCGGATGTGCTGAGCGCCAGTGCGCTGCAGGTCATCGAGCGGGCCCTGTGGGACTTTGTGCCGCAGCAGCGCTACACGTTGCTCTCCCACAACAAGTATCAATTCACGTTGCCATGCCGCTCCTCGCTGCGCCTACATCGAGCCAGCAGCGAGTCCGCCACGCAGTCCGTCTAGACCAGAAACAGAGAGAGAGAGAGAGAGGAAGAAATAGAGTGAGAGAGAGGAAGTGAGAGATATGGTGGAGCAGGCATATTCAACGGCTGGCCTTACTGGGATCGCAGCCAATACTTACAATACCTTTTCTGTACATACGTATGCAACACACACACACACACACTTACACACATACAGAATCGTTGTCTTTAACATTGTATTCAGTTATCTATAATCTATATACGCCTAAAGGCTTTAACATTTTTTTTAAATGTTTATATTTGATATTTGTTTTTTTTGTGTCCCCTTTTCTTTTATAAAGTTGTAAATTGACAATTTGCTGCATTTGATTTGTAGACATTTTGTGCATATTTTTGCGTATATATATATATATTAATGCGATTTATCTCTTTATATATATATATGCAACAATACATACAAACATATCAGAATATACACGAATATATATATATATATATGATACTTGTTGGTTTGTTTACATTTCAGTTTTGTTCCTTGTTGCGTGTGTGTTTTATTGTTTTATTTCGGATTGTGCTGGGAACTGCTTCCGGGCGGAGCGAGTAGTTTATTCGTATCTGGAGATGAAATCATAGCGCAGCACCGAGGCGCTGTAGATTTCACCGGCACGCGCCTGCGATTTGGTTGCTGTGCGTCCTGGCAAATGGATGAGCACATCGGCGCACACAATGCTCTGCAGCCGGCTGCTGATCTGTTAAAATGTTCATCGATTAGTCTGGGAAGTTGCCTGTTTCTCGCTCACCTACCTGATTCCCATTGACGCTGGCATGCAGCTGGCCATTGATGCTGCTCACCGAGGCGCGCACATATTCGGGACGTGCATCCAAATCGATGGCTTCATTGAGCAGCTAAAATTCAGAATTAATAAGCATTTTATTATAATCGTTAAGCATTTTTGGTGGAGTTGCCTAAGGCTCAGGTTAGCGTAGAAGGGTCGATGCTAAGAGATCTATCTTTAAGGCACTTGTTGCATCATCTCATAATTCATGTGATTCGAGTGGACATTTGGATATCTTATTTAATTTAAAGCGATTGCGCTCTCGATCGAGTCTGATACTAGTTTATATAGCATAAAGATATGATTGACTTTGGCTCCAGATCAGAACCGCATAAACAATATTTAATTGATTGCATGAAAAAGTTGCTAATCATTTTCCGTTCCGATCTGATTTCAATAGATTGATAATTTGGCCAAATCAGGTGATTTATTGCTCGCCGAAATGTGCCAACATTTATCTATAGCTGCCTAATCTAACTTGCCGTTCACTTTACCACAAATATTTGTTTATGTTCTAAAAGCACATTGGGGCGCGATAACAAAAATAGAAATACAAACAAAATGTTGAACTATTTGAAGAGTGTCTTGTTGAGTGCCTGTCTTATCGCTCCAAAGAGCGATAACGCTAGCGCGTCATTATGATGCAGCATGGAGCGTGGATTGCTAGAATGAATTGATCTACATATGTGCAATAATTGATCGATTCTCAAGCGTCTGACATAGCTGAAGGGCAATATCGAATCTAAGCCCTATGGCGAGCAGGCTATTCAGATAAGTTAAGGTATTTCACAATGTGCTTGGAACTTACCGCCACATTGATTATGGGCAGGGGGCACTTGGCGCGCTCCCAGCCATCGGCCCAGCGGATGGCGGGCAGTGCGAACAGATGGAATGTGACAAAGGCGGACACGGGATTGCCGGGCAGGCCAAAGAAGTACTTGGTGCCTCTGCTGGCGAAGGTCATCGGTTTGCTGCAAATGCAAATACAAAATAGCAGTTAGTTTGGGTTCTGGACTGTTAACATGTGTTAGACCCAACCCAGGCTTCATGTTGACGCGTCCGAAATGCACTTTAAATTTGAGATGCTCCAGCGCCGGCTTAATGAAGTCCTTGTCGCCCATTGAGACGCCGCCGCTGCAGATGACAAAGTCCACAGCATCGAATATATTCGACAGGGTGAGTGTTATGGTCATCAGGCTGGGACGGAAGCAAAATGATTAATATATTCGTGTGCTAGCTGTCGGCCATGGGCACATGATCTATGTGGCACTCACTCGTCGCCGAGCACATGCTGCTGCATGCAGTCGAAGCCGAAATAGAGCAACAGCTCCTCCAGCATGGTTGTATTCGAGTCATAGATTTTGCCAGCGTCGGCTGGCTGCTGGGGTGCGAGCAGCTCGCTGCCAGTTGAGATAATGGCCACTTTCGGCTTGCGCCGTTGCAGCTGACAGCCAACGGAGGCCAGCAACGATTTGAAGACAACGGGCGAGTAATCGGGAGCGGGAAACACTTTATCGCCCTTGCGCAGATCGTGCCCAATTGAACTGCATGCAAAAAAAAAAAAAAAACAAAAAAAAAGGGACATTTATATATCGAACTAGAGACTAGAACTTAGACTAGCTTACCGCACATCCTGTCCCGCCTTGGGCTCGACCAGGATGTCGACTAGGCTTTCCTCGCCATATTTGTCGCGCTGCAACAGCCTGGTGTCCTCCACCTGGACCACACAGTCCGCATCCTCGGGCAGTGGCGCGCCCGTATTGATCTTGAAGCACTCGTCCTCCTGCAACGGATGTAGGCTAACCTGCAACCGACAGCGAAATGTCAATAAGTAAGCGCAAAATAGACAACAAAACAAAAATCTAGAACCTTGTCGCCGGCAGCAATAAAATCCACAATACGCTTGGTGCCCGGAAAGCCGGTCGACTTCATTGCATAGCCATCCTTAATGGACGCCCGAAAGGGCGGTATGTTGATCGGTGAGAGCAGCGCGTCCATCTGCTGATTTGTGGCGTTGTTGCGCTGCACCACGCTGAGAATGGTGTCCAGCGCCTGGTGCACTGGCAGCATTGGAAACGGTGAATTGCGATCGACATCGTCGCCGGCGCCCGTCTGGTGCGGACACACATGGTCACGTCTCAGTACCTTTGGCAGTGCCGCAACCGAGCCTTGCACTTCGGCATGCGTGCGTTGAACAAGTGCCACATTGTTACCGATCAGATGGAGAGCGTGCGGCAGCAGTTCGCGTACCGCCTCGAAGCACTCGCCCACGGCCTTCTCGCTACCCGGAAAATTGAGCACAAGCGTATTGCCGGCAATGCCGCAAACGCCACGGGATAGGGCAGCAAATTTGGTCTTCTGCAGCGATGCCAATGCAATGGCCAGGTTTAGCTGATTGCAGTCCTTGTCCAGCAGGGGCTTTGTTGCCTCCGGCGTAACATCTCGCGGTGCAAAGCCAGTGCCCCCGGTGGTTATTATGATACGCACATCATTCCGATCGATCCATTTGCGCAACTCACGCTGGATCAGATCGCGCTCGTCGGGCAGCACACTGGCAACCACCTGGGCATTGTCAAACGATTGGCGTATCAACGCCATCAAACGCGGCCCGCTGCGATCCTTCGCCGGCTCCTGGTAACAGGTGTCACTAACTGAAACCGCAAACGAGCTGTTAATATAGGCAGCCGGAAATTGGATCGCTTACTTGTCAATACTCCGAACGTAATCGACTCCATGGCAACATTTATATAATCTGAGTGGCACGCAGCGTTTGTTACTTTCAATTAAATTGTTGTTTAATAAAACGTTTAGCACTCAAAAAAAAAAATGTTTTCGATTGCTTTGACCGTTTTGGGGGTAGGGCTTTTGGGCATTTTTAGCACATTTTGTACACACCAAATTGCTTGGGTGTGTACACACTAGTTTTTGCCATTTCAAAATTGCAAGTTGCACTCGGATTTTTAACGAAATATTAATATTAAATGTTTACAATAATATTCGGCCGGCACTATTATTAGTGAGCGTAGTCATAATGCTAATGTTTATGTTTTATTTACACTACACTACAACAATACAAAAAAAAAAATATATATATATAGCGCAACAATTAACGTTCACCGGCAGTCACTTATTTGGCAGGGCCTTCGGCCTTGGTGCGTTCCACTAGCGGATCGTAGCCGGATGCCATTTTCTCCTTGAATTGTTCGTAGGTGCGTTTACGATCAAAGTGTTTCACCCACTGGCCGGGACAGGATTGCTCAAATAGTTTGCGCATTTTCTGGCAGGCATTCGGCACCTTTTCGCCGCTTGTTGAGCTGTGCTTGGGCGCATTTTCATCCAGACACTTCCAGTATTCATCACGTGTGGACCAGCACTTGGCGCGTTCCGCTTTGTCGGGAAAACTCATTCTGGCAGTGATTTGTTTTAGTTTTGCTGTCGATGTTGGTTCTTGGTTCTTGGACTGCTGTGCCGCCAGTCGCTCCGCTTTTTATTTGTCCAGCAGCTTTCAGCCAATGAGCACTGTCTACAGACTTCGCTAGTATGCCTGCGTGTCAATACGATTAATTATATTACAATGTCATTTATTGTAGTGTAAAACAAATTCCATCAGAACCAACCTCAAAATTACAAAACATACAATTGCCGAAACAGTGTGGCCAGATTTTATGTTAGGCACAACAGCTGATTGAAAATATAAAATCACAAGCAATATTGAATACAGCGTTGCATTGGATACTTTTGGCGCCAGAATTTGATTGTCTGCTTTAAGCTTACGTTAAAAGTCTGATGAGCGTCAATTCCATTTCGGTAGTATTACAATTTATTTGATTTAATATCTCAGTGACTTATATTAAACATTATTGATTTTCAATTTCAACTAATCTGTATGCTGAACTACTAAAACATACATATATATATATATATAAATATATATATATGCTTGTTCATAAAACAAAAAATAATAAAAATAAGCAAAACAAAACAAATAATGGCAGACCGATAACAATAATAATAATGAGTGGTGACTACTTAATTTCTAAATGTCATGCTTCGAAACCGTTATACTATATAAATGTATATATATATATATATATATGTAAATGTCGCTTATATGGTACACAAATTACGTATAGAAAATGCTGTAAAAAGCCAAAGTCCAAGCGGGAGCGCAATAAATGCCCCGTTACTTGCCTATATCGAACTTTAAACATTTACGACAATATATGTATATATATATATATATTATATTTTGTTTAGTGAACTCTAGGAACACTGCAAATCTGAATTGTGATGCTGATGTAGTTCGTGTTACCAATGTTCTCTCTCTTCACATTCATGTTACACCAATACAAAATAGATGTATAAGTATACATAAAACTTGTAGATCGTATAACTATGCTTCAATAACAGCTGACTGTGTGCCTCTGTGTGTGTGTGTGTGTGTTACATTTCAGCATTAATAACTTATATATATTTATTCGTATTTCTAGTGTACATACATACAAACATTTACACAATACACATTAAGCTAGGAGGCCCCGCATAGACCTACACATAAGTACATGTACGTATTTACCCATATATATATATTATGTATATGTATAATTACTTATTAAGTTAATTACTATCTGTAGATGTGATTCGTTAGACGCAAGGATATGATTGGAACTGAAATGAAGTGGTCGTCACATCTCAAAAATGCATTGCAGTCAATGTTTTTTATATGTATTGTGTGATATATTCCTGTGGTACCATGTCTAGCAATAGTGGACCCAGCATAGCTCGGGCCCTGGGGGGTAGGGGGTTGGTTTTTTCTTTTTTGAAAGCTTTTCAGGCACTTGTGGCTAACGAGCGCAAAGCTGAATTCAGCCAATTACAGTTACAGTTACGTTAACATCAACATTAACAGTAACAGTGACCGCTACTGTTACAGCTGCTTTGCTGTTAAAACTATAAACAAAACATGCCAAATTTTACAATAAGCGACGGGTCACAAAAGGTTACGTGTGCTTGTGTTTCTATAAATGTTTTCTAAAACATTTTGTTTTTAACTACTATCAGTACATTTTCCAGCACAAACATAGTACATTATACTTTTTTATATCTTTAATCGATTGCATATAATTATTCATTCTTTTTTGTTATACATGTGAATTGTGTCTTCGTTAAACTTGCAATCAAATAGAAAAAAAATAATTGTATATAATGCGTATTATACGTAACTTAGTTTAGAAGCAAGTTACATTTATTGTTAAATTCACAATTGTGTGTGTGTGGGTGTGTTTGTATGGGTGCTATTGTGCTATCTCAATTAATAATGCGAAACTATATGCATATGCAATCTATATAAATATATATATGCACACATATGATGCATACACATACATATATACATGCACATACATATATGCATAAATTATCTGCCCTGACTAGTTACAAGTTCTCCGCTTTTACCTTGATCGCACACAGAAATTAACATCTAATTTGAATATACATCTATATATCCATATAACTATGGCTTAAGCTTAACGTTAAGACACACGCACACACACGCAGAAAAAAGAACGTAATCTAGTTACGTACATATATGTTTATATATATTTAGCTACATTCATATACATATGTGTCGCACATATATGTGTGTGTATTGCACAATGTGACATGCAGCTTAGCGTGTAGTTTAAAAAAAAAAAAAAAAAAGTAAAGAAAAAAAATAAAGGGTAGCATTTTACAACACAACATTATCCTATAAAAACAAATGCACAATAAAAACAAAAAATAATAATAATAATAATAATAGAAATAAAAATTAATATATACATATGAATATTGGTATAAACAATAACTATATAAAAACCTTGAAACATTTGGCAGTCGAGGGCCAACAACAAAAACAAACAAAACATCTTTAGTTTGTTGTTGGTGTTGGCTCTGATTTTGATTTGATTTGATTTGATTTGATATATATGGAATATATAAATATGGCGCTCTTTTTTTGTCTGTGATGCTTGGCAACATGGCTTGGCCAAGAGAGTCAATGTCGTCTCCGTCTTCGTCTCCGTTTCGATCTTTGTCTCTGTTTGTTGTGTTGCGTTGTGTGTGCTCAATGCTCGACTGGATTTTGTTTTGGAATCATTATGTTAGATCGTGTATACTAGACCAGGGGATCTAGGAAATGCTGCTCCTGTGCCGTTGTCTGCACGCCAGACGCTTCTTCGCCAGCTGTTGCCGCTGCTGGCGATCCACTCGAGCTGGACGAGTGCAGCGAATATTTGCAGGAGGCCGTCAGGCACTTGCAGCCGCCTCCGCTGATACGTTGATCGGCACGCCAGAATTTTTCTCCATAATCGTAGCTAGTGAAGCCAAAGAAAAATGTTAATCAAAGATAGGCCAGCTCGCATTTGGCAGCACACAAACCAGATCTCCTCCCCGGCATCGATGTCGCGGCAGGCAAAGAACGCAATTTTGGGAAAACGATAATCCTGATGCTCGTAAAAGACGCGCACGGGCAATATATTCGGTTCGCACGAGTGATTGAAGAAGCGACTGATGTTGCCATAATAGTTGGCATCAATGCAATGCCCATTGTCCAGATCAAAATAGTAGCTATCATCGGTGCGGCGATCCGCTTCGGGTGCAGTCAATATCTCGCCCGTATAGCTGGCGACAAATGTGCCCTTCGGCACATTGGCCAGCGCACGCACGCCCCAGCCCTTTGCCGGATCCTCGCACTCAACAATCTGAAGCGGTGTCCGCGTGCCGTTCTGCACGACGCGATTCTTGCAGGATAACTGCCAAGCGAGAAGAGATTTTGATTGAGCGAATGCTGCCGCAAGTTGCTTGCCCTTTGGCTTTGCCTTACCTGATTGCAGCCGCAGACATCGTTGCATTCAAATATGACCGCCGGATCATCGTAGTTGAAGTCACAATTCAAACGGCTCTCGGCCGTATACCAGTTTTGGGATGAGGCGCCATTGCACTGGCACTGATCACTGCTGCAGCTGTCCAAGCACGAGCAGATGCGCATCTGGGAGACGCGTCGATCGATCTGCACCGAGTTCTGCAGTATTATGCACTTGTTAATGTACTTGAAATCCGGCCACATGAGCGCATCGGCCTCGTCCTCATGCTCTGACATGGTCAGCTCGTTGCGTACCGCCTGTATGGGACGCGCCTCGCGTCCGTTGGAGGCATCAGCACAGACCACCCGAGTGCGCAGTCCCTGCGGCCGAAAGCTGCGCATCTGCATGTTAAAGCCAACGGTTCGCCCGCATTCCGAATCCTCGTTGGGTATGCAATCAAAGGGCAACTGCTCCGCCTTGTTCTTGATCATCAGATCGGCGCCGTTCGCTATCAATGCGATGCACATGCGCGTCACCGAATGCCGGCAAGCAATGTGTCTACATGGTGCAAAGATTGTGGCAAAATTGTATTGAAATTCAATTTGCAATATGGCTTGATTACTTACAGCGGCGTATCGCCCTCCACATTCTGCACATTGCAATCGGCGCCCGCCTGCAACAGCACTGTTATCGTCTCCAGCCCGTCGTTGTGCAGTGTGGACCAATGCAACACCGTGTTGTTGTCATTGTCGCATATATTCGGATCTGCGCCGTGATTGATCAACAGGCTGTCAAGAGAATACAATCAAAAACATATATATCAGGTATAACATAGAGTAAATGCACGAAATGCTAATGTTAACAGACTTTTAGCAGTTGCTAACAGTTCTGTTATTCTACTGTTAACATACAGCTGTTGTCACATTTAATCATATTTTTGGGGTACTGTTAAATTTGATTAACATTTGTTTAGCTGATTCAACGCTGTTAATTGATTTTAACATAATGTTAGGCATAACATAATGTTAGGCTTTATAAATGATTTGCCCTCACCTAACGATATCCGTGTGTCCCAGCTCGGCTGCCCAGACCATGGCCGTCCAACCACCCTCATCCTGAGCATTGATAAAGCTCAGAAAGTTGGCAATGTTGCGAGAGCCGCGATAACTGTCCACAATTAGTTGGGCAGCCTCCAGATTGCCCAGTTTTGCGGCAATATGAAGACTCGTCATGCCATCGGGACCCTGCAATACGAAACGGAATGGACATTCAGTTACATTATAGGCAGAGCCTGACATGTGATGGTATATTCTGTGGGTCACCTTGATGGCCACATCGGCGCCGCATTGCAGGAACAGATTAAGCATGTCGCATTTCTCGTTCATGACGGCGCACATGAGTGCCGTGCGCAATTCACTGTCGACAATGTTGACAAAGTCCTGCGAGCTGGCGCCCTTGCAGAGCAGCAGATAGGCCATTTGCAGGGTGCCCGAATGGGCCACCAGATGCAGGCAGGTGCCATTAAGGAATTCACGCATACGCGTCAGCACATTGTAGTCGGCAGCTGTTGGAAAACAATCGAAATTAAACATTGAGGAGGAGGACAGAAGGACACTCCAGACTCTTACCGAGAATCTCGGCAACACGCTCCAGATCATCGTTCTGCACGGCGTAGTACATGTCGCGCGAGTTGAACTCGGTTGTCACCCGACCGCTGGACGAGACGATCCGATCACGCAGCACCACGTTCATCACGGACTCGGGTATCAGCTGCTCAAAGTTAATGATGTTCAGTGCCTGACCAGCAGCAGCAGCCGTTCCCTTGC